TCAAAAAATATAGATAGATAAAAGTTCAAAATAGAAAGGTACAAATTCAAAATAGATACACAAATGAATAGATAAGAGTTCAAAATAGATAGATATATAAAAGTTCAAAATAGACAGGTACAACTCCAATATAGATAGAGAGATCGCTAGATAAGAGTTAAAAATCGATAGACAGTTCGATAGATAAAAGTTCAAAATATATAGAGAGATAAGAGTTCAAAATAGATAAAAATTCAAAACAGACAGACAGATAGATAGATAAAAGTCCAAAATAGATAGATAATAAAAGTTCAAAATAGATAGATATATAGATAAATGTCCAAAATAGATAGATAGATAAAATTTCAAAATAGACAGTTACAACTCCAATATGGATAGAGAGATCGCTAGATAAAAGTTCAAAATAGACAGTTCAATAGATAAAAGTTCAAAATAGATAAAAATTCAAAACAGATAGATAGATAAAAGTTCACAAATGCATAGATAAAATTTTAAAATAGAGATAAAAATTCAAAATTGACAGACAGATAGATAGATAATAGATAGATAATAAAAGTTCAAAATAGATAGATATATAGATACATGTCCAAAATAGATTGATAAAGTTCAAAATAGATAGATAGATAGATATAACAACATAGGCTAGTTGTAACACTGTTGTCCCACTTATTGAGACTGACTGGTTTCGATTCCCGAAGATAAATGCCAGATATTAAATATCAGTCAGTTAAGTGCTATACATGGTATGCGCTTGGGTGATCATTTCTGTTTTGGTTCATGACTGACTAACTCCAAGATTTTCAAAAGTAGTTTGCCGTTTCTTTTGGCGGTAGACTGGTTGCTAGCCAACGCTATAGGATCCAGTCTGTTCTGCTATTTAATCTATAGTTGGGGAAAGAGAAGATATGGATTCATACCTTTCCCAAGGGTATTCGTGCGTAAATGAATCTAATGAACCCGAATGAAATTCGAACTCGGCTCACCACTTTCTCATTCCGAGCCAATAGCTACTACACCATATATACGAATATTAAATATATGAAGTGTCAAAAAAATTGTATTCATTCATGCTCATACCGAATATTTGGTGTTTATCGCTACAACTTCATTGATACCAAATCTTCATTAAATCAGTTACACTTCTCCCGGTCTTCCCGTAAATCCTAGTACTACCGTGATATTTTGACAATATCAATATTTCTAGATTAATTCCTTCAATATCGATACTCGTGTGAATTTGACACTGTTCAAATGCCTCCCTTACATTCCAGTTTTCTCAGCTTACGGTCACATTACGAACGAAGTTAAGCAACGTCAATCCTGATCAGTACCTAGATGGGTGACCACTTGGGAATACCAGGTCCTGTAAGCTTAGATGCGCGGGCCGTGTAATGGATAATGGCTCGGAATTGTTATTCAGAGATCCGAGTTCCAATTCCATCTGGGTTTGTTATACAGTGAGTCCCCCGCCTATTCGCGTTTCAGCATTCGCGGCTTCACACATTCGCGGATTTTTCTTTAGAACATATGTACTTGTTATTCGCGGAAACCCTGAATATTCGTGTGTTTTTCTGAAGAACATATTTACAAATTATTCGCTGAGAACTCCCTCGATTCGCGTATTTTTTCAATAGAACATATTTAAAATATTCTTGTATTATTTTCCTGTTATTTAAGTGACTTAAAACATATAACAGTCCATTTTTATGGTAAAAATTGGCAGAATCTTCATTGTAAAAAACAAACGCAAAAACATGCGTAGTGCTTGGGCTTTGTTCTTTGTTAGGGTCTGCGGTCTTAAAAGTGGTTTATGCTAAGTCATCATCACAGTTCTGTTTTGAGAAAATGTTTTAAACTTTATATTTTATGTCTTGTTACACATATTTTATACAGTATTTTCAATGGTTGTATCGATCTATGCGTAATTAAAAACGGTTATTGTACGTATGAAGGAAAATTTACGCTAAGTGTATGGTCACCAATACTGTTTTTCAAAAATGTTTTTAAATTGGTCTAAAATGTTTTTAAAATGGTCTAAAATGTCTCTAAAGTGTTTAGGATAAAAGTTTAAGGCATATTGTGTTTTTAACGATCAAAATAGGTACATATAAGCACTTGGTGGGGTTACAAATATTCGCAGATTCTAACTATTCACGGCCGGTTCTGGTCCGTAACCCCAGCGAATACGGGGGACTCACTGTATTTACTTACGGGCAAAATTCCATGGGGATGGTATGAATCCACCTTTTCTCCCCCCAAACATGGGTTACTTAGAAGGAGTTTTACTGCTAAACTATTATTATCTCGAAAAAATAAAATAAAATTGCGTAAGAAATATTTAGATTTCAGCGTTAAAATAACCCATATGCAATAGTTTTCTAAGCTTCTGGTATTTTTCGTTGTCTATGGTCTGCTAGTACAGTTATTTCGACGATCTTGCAGGTTTCTTTCTTGCGCAGATGAAGCAGTTAGTTTGGATTTCACAATTCTAAATAGTGATTCTCAAGTCGATAGCATTTGCCTACACGGGTATTAATTCCAAATGTAAAAAAAATATTTTAGTCAGGGGAGGAATTGGAGAATGCATTTCAGTTACATGTATCGGTTATAATTAGTATAGCGAAAAAACAAATTACTAACTAGATGACAAGTTAAAATGGAGGAGTGACATTTTATTGAGCACACAAGACAATGACAAAGAGAATCGGTTTTGAATCTAGTTACTAATCTAGATTCGATGACCAAATAATTCGACAACTGTAAAGAGAGAAAATAGGATTGGTCAGTCCATGGGTGTGGCTTTGCGGAAAAATGGGAAATAATATGTCCTTTTGTTTTATTCATTTAACTGCAAGAACTGCAATAAAGCCATTAGAACGATTACTGAGTGTTAGACAATTATAGAAAAAACAACAACACTATTACAGAGAGAAAACAATAAAAGAATAATACCTGGTTCTCAGACTTCATGAATTTAAGCGTTCTACTAGGCTGGCATCTCGCTCCCACCCTTTCACTGTCGAAACTGTTAAATGCAGCCGTCTCCTCTACTTCAATAGTTTCATGTCTCGCACCTCTCGCCTGTAGAACTCCCCCACTTTTTCCTGTTTCCTTGATAGCTATAATCTCCAACTATTCAAATGTAATGTCAATCGACGTCTCTACATACCTTGATCTATCCCCTATCCTTCTCTTCATCCTTTCCTCTATCACTCTTATTTGCTCTAGCTCCAACTCTCTGTAACCCCTTGCGTGCTTGTGGCTTCCCGCCTTGCTTGGGGTGAAAAGCTTAAAAAAAGAAAAAAAAAGACAGAAGATAACGGTTGACATTTCATTTAAAGTTTTGAATATAAAACTTAATTCGAAAGCAAGAAGCCAGAAGAGAGATCCAAAAACAAGAAAATAAACTGTTAGCATAGATATTACGGTTACATCTAACCATTTTGACTATAAAATGAATGAGAAGACGAACGAGAAATAGAAAGAATAGGAAGAAAGAGAAGAAGAAGAAGGGCAAGAAGAAGGAGAAATAGAAAGAAGAAGAAGAAGAAAGAGAAGAAGAAGAAGAAGAGAAGAGAGCAGAAATAAAAAAGAAGAAAAAGGTTACAAAAAAAGTGGCAAAAGAAAAAAAATGAAAAGAGACGAAGAAAAGTAGAAGAATAAAGAAAAAGAAAAAATGACGGTGAAGAAAAAGAAGAAAAAGAAGAAGAAGAAGAATGAGAAGAAGAAGGAGAAATAGAAAGAAAAAGAAGAAAGAGAAGAAGGAGAAGAAGAAGGAGAAGAAGAAGGAGAAATAGAAAGAAAAAGAAGAAAGAGAAGAAGAAGAAGAAGAAAAAGAAGAGAAGAAAAAGGGTTACAAAAAAAAGTGGCAAAAGAAAAAAAAATGAAAAGAGAGGAAGAAAAGTAGAAGAATAAAAAAAAAGAAAAAGTGAAGGTGAAGAAAAAGAAGAAAAAAAAGAAGAAGGAGAAGAAGAAGAAGAAAAAGAAAGAAAAAGAAGAAAGAGAAGAAGGAGAAGAAGAAGGAGAAATAGAAAGAAGAAGAAGAAAGAGAAGAAGAAGAAGAAAAGGAAAGAAAAAGAAGAAAGAGAAGAAGGAGAAGAAGAAGGAGAAGAAGAAGGAGAAAAAGAAAGAAGAAAAAAGAGAAGAATGAGAAGAAGGAGAAAAAGAAGAAGAAAAAGAAGAAGAAAAGGAGAGCAAAAATAGAAGAAACAGAAAAAAGAAAAACAAACACATTTGCAATGGCATTTTTGATACATTTGTGCTGAATATTTGTTTTTATCTCTGCTTCAGTCTGGGTCTGCATCCTACAGAACTTGGTATTTCCTGCAGATCGCTTTAGGTTATTTTGGTGCCGGCTCAGTGTCAAAGCCTCAAGAATTCCTGCTGCCATACAGTGGAGAGGGACATTATTATTATTATTATTATTGGTGTGCTCACAAGTAGGAAAATGTTGGTTTTGAAGGCGAGTTAATTCAACATACCTGAAAAGAGATATGTCAGTGGGCGCCTATTCTAGTGCGATGGTTAATAAACTCGTCTTGCATATCGCTTTATTTCTCTTATGAGAACTCTTATCTGCACTCGGTGAACCAATAGAACATCCTTGTGCCAGACTTATTCAAAGCAACTACGAGATCCTCTCACAATTAATATCTGCATTTCAAGTACGAGAAAACATTTAAGCATATAATTTGTTTTCTTTTTTTATATCTGGGATGAGGAGTTGTCATTATTAGCCTTATTTACGCTTGGGGTAATGGTCTAGTAGATTAAAGCGGTATTTGGTGACGTAGTGATTGTGAGTTCAATCCGTTGGCCCGGTAGTAGAGACAGGATTAGTGGAAATAGGGTGAGGAATAAGCAAGCACTAAGAAAAAGAATATCCCGATTCATGGACAACGAAAAAAAAGTATTCCCACATAGATTAAATAAAGGGCCAGTCAGTTATGAGCCATACGTGGTACACGCTTAGGCGATCATTTATCTTTCGATACATGACTGACGAGGCAGATTTTTCGGCAGTAGGTTTCCATTTCTTTCTGCGGTAGACCAGTTGCCGTCCAAGGCTATAGATGGTCTATTCTGCTCGCTTTGAGAAGTGGATTCATATCTTTCCCAAGGGCCAGTCAGTTATGTGCCATACGTGATACACGCTTAGGCGATCATGTATCATTCGATACATGACTGACGAGGCAGATTTTTCGGCAGTAGGTTGCCATTTCTTTCTGCGGTAGACCAGCTGCCATCCAAGGCTATAGATGGTCTGACCTGCTAGCTTTGAGAAGAAGAGGATTAATACCTTTCCTAAGGGTATTAGCACGTAAGTGAATGTAATGGATTTGACTGGAATTCGAACTCATTTCTCCGATTCCTCAATCCGAGCCGCTATCCATTACACCACCATGAAATTCCAGAAAGTTTCCCGGATCGACAGACACCTGAAGAGGGTCAGAGGGCTTACCGACCGAAATGTGATAATAATAACAAAGATGAAGACATTAGACGGGATGTAAATAATATCATTTTTATTAGAATTACAAAGATTTCAACGATTCTTTAAAAACTTCTTTTTTGTTTAAATAAGAATGTTAATTTCGACCGTTTTATGTGTGGAATCTCGTTAAACGATTGTTGGAAAATGCAATAGATTTAAGTATTGTCAATGAAAACTCATTTTTTTGTAAAAAAAACCTGCTCACACAGAAGTCGAATAAGTTTTGTGTATTTTGTAGGCTCCAAATTTCTATTTCGATATTCGTATTTATTAATCAATCAGGGACGTTATCGCAAACGCAAAATTTCAGACAGTTAATCGAGTGACAGAACTAATTTCAAGTCGGAACTAATTTTAACTCGATTTAAAATCAAAGTTATCAATTTCCGTGAATTCCTAAACAAAATGCAATGAGTTGGTGTTAATTTGATTAATTTAGCATTAAAAATCCTTAGTAGATAAAATAATTTAGAATTCATTTTTTCTGCAACTTTCATTAATTAGTTCCCAGTTGAAATTTGTTCCGATTTGAAATTAATTTCAGGTCGAAATTAATTCTGACTCGAAATTAGTTCCAAGTTGAAATAAATTCCGCACACCAATTAATATATGTTGAATGTTACGAAATTCTGTAGGCTCACTCTAGGAAATAACCAACAAAATTTTCCCTTATAAAATTAGATATTTAAAAATTTGGAAATATATTTATTAACCAATAGATTTATGAGTTTAATAAAATCTAAATTTTAGTCTTTTCGGAGTCGATTTCTTGGTTATAAAAGCGATTGTATTAGTTCGTAAAGTTAGTTTTTTTAAGTTTTCCGTAAATCTTTGACGAAGGTCGTTTGTTCGTTATACAAGCTGAAATTCTGAAACCTTAATTACTAACATTTTCGCAATTTATTTGAGCATACTTTATTACACAAAAGGCTTAAAGGCAGTAGTATTAATGCGACTATCGTTCACTGACTGCTGATTTGCTGCTACTAGAAAATTACGGACATACATAAAACAAAGTAAATGCATGACACACACATTCTCATATGTAGACGAATTCTATTTTGTACCATACTAGCGCAATTGATTCGGTTGCATTGTAAAGAACAACAAGCAAACATATTTTTGAGTGAAGTTGATTAGCAAAAAATCTTTGTAATTCATTTCTTTCTTGTTTCTCTTTCCCTCTATTCGACCCGTGAGTATTTGATTCTCCAGGCCCTCCTTCCTCATTATGTGTCAAAGAAACTTCAGCTGCCTCTCCCTGATAAATCTCCTCTTTGTTTGAAACCTAAGACTTCACCGTAGCTCACACGCTCGGTCCATGATATCCTTAGCATCCTTATGTAGAACCACATCTCCGTCTTTGAAAGAAAACTAATACTGAAAAAAAATATTTAAATTTGTTGAGCTGTGTTGAAAATTATTTTTTCGCTTTACCCACGCACATTCCTCTACATATGTGATTTAAAAACTAGTCTCTCAAGATAGTTCTATAAATTCCAGAAATGATGACAATCAGATGAAACAAAATCTTGAGAATCCAGGGGAATGAGGCAAACGTGGACTCAACAGAACAAAATTCTTCTTCTGAAAGTCGAACTGAACCCTATATTTTGCTCACTGGGGTAGACTGTTTTAATTCCACGTGCCATGTTTAATGGGATGTCGGTTATCAGTTATCTCCTGCTTAATTTCCCTCTGAAAGTTCTCCACTGCCTTAATCGGGTATTGAACTCACACAATTTGGTCCCTGTCACTGGATCTAATTAACGCCTTTATCCACTGTGCCATGTGTCCTTGAGGACACATATGGCGACAAAGATGAGGAAAATAGTCCGAATAATATAAATAATGTATATAATACCTCATCTCAGAAATATAGACAGATACTGAAAGGCCGAAACGTTGTGATAAATATGACAACAAAGATGAGGACAATAGTCCGAATAATGTACATAATACCTCATCTCAGAAATGTAGACAGATACTGAAAGGCCGAAACGTTGTAATAAATATGGCGACAAAGATGAGGACAATAGTCCGAATAGTGTAAATAGTGTACATAATACCTCATCTTAGAAATATAGACAGATACTGAAAGGCCGAAACGTTGTGATAAATATGGCAACAAAGATGAGGACAATAGTCCGAATAATGTAAATAGTGTACATAATACCTCATCTCAGAAATATAGACAGATACTGAAAGGCCAAAACGTTGTGATAAATATATATACACATGTATTTTGTTTTCTGTGGTAGTTTTCAGGTGTCACGTCTCCTCACGACAATGGGGTGGTGTGTCGGGTAATTTTAAGTACCGTGTCTTCACAAATCAGTCTGTAATGGGATGTCATTTTTTGTTTGATTTTTGGATTATTACTTACGAAATATATTTAGTCTATTTCTTTCTAAATTGCATGAAATTTTATCAATGCTGATTTGTTTTTTTTTTATGGCCAAGTCTTCTTGTATTTGTCGCATTTATGAAAAGTATGTGGTTGTCTTTTTATGATATTGATGAGAATTTGTCAGATTTCTTATTGTGTTTTTGTTACAGTGGTTGTTGATATGTGACTTAATTGAGCAATTATCGGATAAATGTCAAGTTAACCGGCGCTATAATATATGTATAATGTAATCAATATATGTATTGTTTAAATTAGAAAGACATTCTGGAAGTGAGCAATCGGATTTTTTTTCACGTTTCCGTTTGTAATGTGGTGTCGTTTTTTGTTATTTAGTTTTTCTTTTTTGTTTATTACTTGTGAAATATATTTAGTTTATTTCTAAGTTGTATCAAATTTTATTGATATTGGATTGAGTGTTTTATGGCTAAGATTTCTATTAATTGCAGTTGTCTTTTTATATATATTTATTTTGCGTTGTTGAAATTTTAGTTGCAGATGTGATTTAATTGAACTATTATCGGATATATATCAAGTTAACCTGCGTTATAATGTAGTCATTTTGTAACCAATGTATGCGATGTTTGAAGTGTTATTATTATAAAGATATTCTCGAAATGGGCAAACGGTTTTTTCCTCGTAATGTGTTCGTAATGTCGTCTCGTTGCTTTGTTGCTTTTTTTCTGTTTGGCATTGTTTATTACTTGTGAAATATATTAAATATTATGGCTGAGTGGTTAGAATTCTGACCATGAGACCCGGGTTCGAATCTCACCATTGTCGATTTGGCAGGAAGGAGACTTATTGATGTTATTGGACTGGAAAGTGCCTGGAAACCATACCACGGGTTGATCCAAGCCTTGTGAGTGAATAAAAACAAATCATTCAATTTAGAAACAAATATACTTAATATGTATAGCTGGCCACTAGTTGTGCTAGCATGAAGTCACAAGTCATCGTGGCCAAAAGCTTGTGCGTGCTGGCCTTGTTGATCACGCTAGATAACACGCTCTTTCCCAGAAACTGTAAGTAAGGTCTGCTCAGCATAGTTGCAGTATAAACCACAGGTGGGCTCTGTGGGTGTTGAATAAACACAAATGCGCCTGAGCAAGCGTCTGCAATAGGGATTGGCCAGACGCATGTAGTAGACGGGTATCTTCGAATACGAGTGGCCAGCTATAGATATTAAGTATTCGTTTGTGTGATTTGTTTTTATTAATATTTGATTGCTCCTTTTTATGGTTAAGGTTTCAATATTTTCAACCTCTGTCTTCAATATTTTCAGCCTCTGTCTTCAATATTTTCAGCCTCTCTCTTCAATATTTTCAGCCTCTCTTTTCAATATTTTTCAGCCT